GAAAGAAAAAGAGAGTTCGCGAGCTCTCATCAAAGGGCCAAGAACCAGTTAATCACCGCATGTTTTCACCGGACAAGCTGGAAGTCTTGTGAAGTCGGAAAGGCTCGGGGCGGGACTATCGGTCTGTCTGGAATAATTAAACTTTATTCTGGCAAGACTCGTCGAGACAGTGCCGCCCGTCACCCCTCCCCCGCCCCTCCTCCAGCACAACCCTTCTTTTTCTGGGTCCTGGGGGTTAAGCACATGCTCTGGTTTCAATGCATCCATGTAGAAGACAAGTAGCGTTTTATTAAGACAAAATAAGAGACCTAAAGAATATTTTTAAATACCCGAGAGCGTGTAGTTAGTGGATTAAAAAATGTTCTTGGACTGCTATCCGCCTGCAGGCAGATGGAGTCCTCAATTAACTGAGTGTCACTGAACATGGTCGGCCTATTTTTCTTTTTGTATGTAGGTTATTTTATGCCCATATAGATACAATAGATTCGTTCAGGAAAGAGGCTTCCGACCGAGTCTGTCATGGTCAACCCAAGCTGAAAGGGATACAACATCCCCATGAACTCGATAGAAAATTGTCCCTTTCGGGAATCAAACTCAGGTCCTGCGTGCTACAGCGAAGCATCTAACCATAACACCACAGCCACTGGTAGATTAATTATGAGCTTCACATCGGCTTTTATATTAGGCCTACTGTCTTGAACGACGCATTGATCCAGCACTCCCAAAAACGAAACTGAACAATCAAACACATGTACTATCATCGCACGAGACAACTTGTAAATCGCGGAAGAGACATAATATCGACGTAACTTATTATGTATTCCATACAGGTAATTCCAAACACATATACATTGCCCCTGCGCTCACCCCATGACCTTCAGAAGCGCAGTAAAACTTTTATCAAAATTTAAACAGAAAAAAAGGTTGCCCACATATTATTATATGGTAGATTTGTTAATTTCTTGCAGTGTGCACTTTGGTGTTGACAGAAAAGTCAATAAATAGTTATGCTAGCCTCTTTTTTTGTCCTGGAAAAGGTTAATTTTATCTTGTCCATGTAGATTACAGAGCGTAAAACGAAAGCACAAGATCTGTATTACAGCAGTGAGTTAATTTCACAAGCATACGTTTTAGTAAAGTTTACTTAAAAGTGCGGCTTTGGCCTAAATGTGTTAAAAGAGCGTGATGTGTGTCTGTGTGTGTGTGTGTGTGTGTGTGTGTGTGTGAGTG